AGAAGTAACATAACATCTGTAGACATATCCTGTTATAAGAGTGAAGGAAGAGTTAAGTGTTCCAATGTGAAGGCTTCTTAGAAAATTTCCCTGAAAAAAATCCCTTCCATCAGTTGGAGGGATACTTTTTACATGAATTTCCACACAAGTTTCTGGATTATGACACTATACAGGCTAGGCCATTCTTCTGTACAAAGATATGTTTTACAAATTATAACAAAGGAAACAAGAAAAGCACGAGGTGCTATGCAAGGGCTGTGCGGTGAGTTTTCTGTCACAGGCAGATCAACCAGACAGATGCTTTTGAGTCTTAAAGGGGTCATCCCGAAATTGATTCAGTCAGTCAGGGTCAGTCTTGAAAACAAAACAACAGCAATGATAGCTCAGAGCCAATAGGATGAAGTAGGAGATTATCAGAACGCTGTGCACACAGGAAGAATCACTATTGTTTTGTGAAGCTGGATAGTCGTGCTTGCCAAGTCTTGTCTACTTGACACAAGCTAGAAAGGAGGGAACCTCCGTTGAGAAATACCCCCATAACATCCAGTTGTAAGGCATTTTCTTAATCTGTGATGGATGCAGGAGGGTCTCTTGTGGGTGGTACCATCCCTTGGCTGGTGGTCCTGGGTTCTATAAGAAAACAGGCTGAACAAGCCATGGGGAACAAGCCAGTGAGCAGCACCCCTCCACGATCTTTGCATGAGCTCCTGCCTCCAGGTTCCTTCTCTGTTTGATTTCCTGTCCTGACTTCCTTATGTGATGAATGGCAATATGGAAGTATAATCCAAATAACCCCTTTCCTCCCCAGCTCGCTCGTTTCATGGTGTTTCGTTGCAGCAACAGAAACCCTAACAAAGGCAATAGTGAAGTAATGCTTTATTTTCTGTGGGCCATGGTTGAAAACAAATAGAAAACTTTAAGATCAGAGAATGTGAGAGAGCTGTTAACACATTTCCAAAATGAGAAAAGAAACTGCAAATTGAGCGTCATCTTGTCAATCAGGGCTCTGGAAGAGCCCACTCTCCTGCTTATTCCAGTATGAATGGGGGGGGGGGCGTTGGCAGAGGAACAATGAGGCACATTTTGGTCTGTGTAAAAGCCTGTTTTAGAGTCTGGAATGAAGGAAATCAAACCAGCCTGAATTTGTTCTTATTGCTACAGGACAAATTCCCCCAAGCTCAGAGGCGTGTCTGGAGGATGTTGCTAACTTTGCAGAACACTTACCCAGCACGCACAAGGCTCCAGTTTCTGCATCCAACACCACATACAAAATACTATAGTACTTTCCAAAGGTTAGAGATTTTGGGCAAGGTGTCTCAGGGAAGGTGAACTTAGTTCTCAGAGTCTCAAGCGAGCTTCTCATGCTTGCTCTTGGTCACTCAGCTTTGCTTTGTGCAGTCGTCACTTTTATTAGCAGAACCAGAACATACTCTTGGAAAGCGTCTCCTGCCCGAAAATACATTCTCCTTTCATGTCCAAACCTCAAATTAAAAAAGTAATTTCTGGCCTGGGGAGATGGCTCAGTAAGTGAAGTGCTTGCTGTGCATACAAGGACCCAAGTTTGATCTCTGGGACTCGTGTTTAAAAATGAATACAAACAAAGCAAGATAATTCAGGTGTAGTGATGTGGGAGGCAGAGGCAGTCAGAACCCTGAGAATCACTGGCTAGCCGGCCTGGATGAATTGGTGAACCCTAAGCTAATGAGAGACTGTATCTTAAAAGAACAGGATCGAAGGCTCAGGAGGAACCAAACATCAAGTTGGCCTTTGGCCAACCAACACGTGTATGCTCATACACAACTTGTCATAGTTACCTAGGGTTCTTAACAAGCAGACCTCCCTAAGACTTAGATAACCTAACAACCTAACTATGGCAACATGTCAAGGATAAAGGAGTTTGGTATTTCACTCCCAAGCCTGCTTTTGGGGACCTCTGGCAGCAAGGGCTTGAGTCTTGCTGTTCAAAATGTAGGAACACACCAGCAGTGCTGCACCACTGCCGACTGGTCATAGACTTATGACCCACACCAGAACCTAATGAACCAGATGGTATATTCCACCATTAGGTCTCAGAAACCCCGGACTAATGCCTGAGGTGCCTATTGATTTATCAAAGTGGACCTTGACCAGCTCCCGCAGAATCCTTCAGCACCCGTGGCTCCTCCCGGCTCTCCCAGCATCCCTCAGTGCCTGTGGCTCCTCCCAGCTCTCCCAGCATCCCTCAGTGCCTGTGGCTCCTCCCAGCTCTCCCACATCCCTTAGTGCCTGTGGCTCCTCCCAGCACTTCTAATCCCACACCCTACCCTAAACTTCTTTCTCCCAGGGTTTGGGCTTCCACTTCCGCTCGCTAGCTTGATCCACCTATAGTATCCAGCCATTTTGGCTATGTTGGTTTCTTGACCTCATGGCCCCAGGTGAACCCTCTTGGTAGGAGGCTTCTCTCTTGCTCTCCCCCCGCCCTCCCCGCCCCCCCCCCCATCTCTTCTCTGGCGGTCCGGTTTACTCTGCTGGCCATGCTCAGCCTGGACTCTTCGCTCTGCCTGCTTTCTCCCTTAGATCTACAATAAAAATCACCATATTTTAGGCGTAGTCATGTCTACTTCCCTTTATTTCGGTTTTTTTTTTCATTCACTAGCAAGTTCTCTGGGTGATTAAAAGCAGCTGAAAGTGACACGCTAAAGGCTCTGAAATGAATTTGGGCTTGAGGCATAACATGCAGAGTGTGCTACACACCACAAAGTCAGCCCGGACCAGCAGACTCCCCGTGAATTCGGGGCACTTTAGAACTGTGGGTTCCTGGTAAACACTCCAGACTTACTGACCTGAAAACTCTGTAAATGTGGCCCAGCTGTGACCTAACAACCCCTTAGGGGATTCGCATGTACACCAAAGCTCTGAGAAGCTCTGCTGGATGTCTGCAAGAGGGGAAATGACAGCAGTATTCTCTCCCTCTTGGAACAAGGAAGAAGTCACGACACACAAGGACAGATAGGACACAGCTCCTGTGCCATTTTCATGGTGGCAACACTTTTTATGGTGCCTTTTGTAGAACACACACGCTGGGAGGAGCAACACCTGGCTACACACTGCTTTCCCTGCTGTGATGGTGACCTCCTCGATCTGCCTTTCTGTCAGATGAAGTTCCAGAATAGTGCATTGGGTTAAGAGGAAAAGGGAGTAGAAGAAAGAGTCTAAAAGAGAGGCGGATACCAAAACCCAACCAACCAACCAACCAAAAAAACCAGCTTTTATTTTGCCTGTCAATCCTGTTGAGCATCGCTGTACCAGGAGTTCAAAGCTCATGGGACATTTCCATGCCTGTCTCCCTTAAAACTATCTTTTTACCTTTTTTACCAAGAAAGCAACAGAGCAAGAAGGGGAAACTGTAGACACCATACCCAATACACTAAGCCAGTATCTTTGAACATGGATCGTCTTAGAATGCCAAACCCACGGTGCTTCAGTTCATGTGGACGTATCCCTTGCCCCCTCTTTTCCTGTGCTAGAGAGTGATTCTGGGGCTTCACGCATGCTGGATATAAGCTCTACCACAGAGCCACTCCCGAGCCCCCTTTGCTCCTTAGTTCTGGCCATCATCTGATATTTACAGAGTGCGTTTTTTTCAGTGAGAAGTAGCAAGGCCAATGGACAAGATTCTTGTTCTAGGCTTAGAGCATCCACAGAGTGCAGCACTGGGCAGAAAAGTCAGTCCTTCCTCCACCTCGGACTCAATGGAAACCACTTTTCCCACTTCAGTCAAAGAAAGCAGGTTAAGTTAAGCATCCATAAAACATCAGACTGTTATTGCCTGGTTTTGGTTTTCTCTTTTTGCAAGGCTAGGGTTGAGGAGGCCGAGGAGGAAAGATTGGAGTGTGGAACATTTCCATGCGTTCAGACTCACCCAGGTTTTGTGGTGGTTTCTTCTTTTACACAGAAGGAAGAGACATGTCCATCTCAGGAGGGGTTTAGAGCTCTATTGACAAGTTAGAATCACCTGTGGAGCCTTACTACACTAGGCCAAGGCCATTCTTTGGACTAATTGAGTAGGAGCTTCTTGTGGTACAACCCGCACACTGGTACTTGGGATGATGATTCGTCTTCAAGGTTAACTTGACCACACTTGGAATTACCTAGGTGACGAATCTCTAGGTGTGAGAATGTTTCTAGAGAGATTTAACTGAGGAGGCTAAGATCCCCGAGAGAATGAAACAGGAACAAAGGAGAAAGCTAGGTGGGCACCAGTATGCGCTTCTCTTTCCCATCGTGATCCACGTGACCACCTGCCCCATGCTCCTACCACCGGGCCTTCCCTGCCATGGCATGCCGTACCTTCAGACTGTGAGCCCAAATCAATCCTATCTTCCTTAAGTTGCCTCTGTCAGGTATTTTGTGACAGCACCAAGAAAGGTAAGTAATTATGGAATTTTCAGGTGGCACGAGATTCTTCACAAGTTCAAATCAGACAAAATCCTAGCAAAGTCCTGCGCCCTCGCCAAGAAGCTTCTTGTAACTGTTACCAGTCTGATAATAAATCAATGCAAAGTTGGAACTAAAAAAATCAGTGCAAGCATTTTCTTTATCGTGAAAATAGGAAAGAAGGAGACGCAGATGACATGTGTAAATCGACCTTTAAAGTGGTGGTGTCCTTTGTCAAATCATTAACACGTCAGTAATAAGATACATACATTACAAGGGCCTTTTGTCATTCAAACAGGTGTGCTACACAAACACACACATGCATATGTTTGTGTGTGCATGGTGTGCATGTGTGTGTTACACACACACAACACACACACACACACACACACACTTGTTAGTATGTATATTACATTTGTCACCAAGGCTATCAAGATGGAAGAAATGCCGCACTGTACTCTAGATGAGAGGCAGTATTGCCACATGTCTAGATTCTTCTAGAAGGACAGGACTCTTCTGGCTTTCTATTTGATGTCTCACTCTGCCCATGCTGGGCAGCCCCATTTATTCTGATACCCTCTTACCTCCTGGGGTTCTTGGTACTGAGAGACCATGAGAAGAAAAGCACGCTCGGCCTGGAAAGCACTGTGTACCATTTCTGCCTGCGGACAGAAAAGAAGGCAACAGTTTCAATGTTTGGGCTCTATTTGAAACAAGTATCAAATGTATCGCTCATTCATCCATCCCACCTCAGCAGTGGGATGCCAACCATGAAGCATAGGAACATATGTTCACAGGGGAACTTGTAAATGCCTAATCACTTCAACATTATTCATACTAGCCAAAATGTGGAAACAACCAACTGTCCATCAACCGATTAACGGATATTTAAAAAAAAAAAAACTACTTAGCCAGGAGATGATGCATTGTGCACCTTTTGAAAACAAAGTGCTGTCACAGGCTGTGACACAGTCAAGGCTTCAAAAACATTATGCTGAGTGACCAGAGCTAGTTACAAAAGAGCAGGCCGGAGTGATCTCATTTATGAGAAATGCTAGAATAGGCAGATCTATAGAGATAGAAAGTAGAATAGTGGGTGGGAGGGGCTGAGGGGAGGAGGATCGGGAGGAAATTGCTGATGGACCACAGAGGGTTTTCTTTTGGGGTTAAAGAAATGTTTTGCAGTGAGGGCTGGGGTGGAGTGGGGTGGGGTGGCTCAGTGGGTAAAGAGTGTTCTGTGTAAGCAGGAGGACCAGAGTCAACCACTCAGAACCTGTGTGAAAAAGTTGGGCATGGGAAAGTGTACTTGAAATCCCAGAGGTGGGGAGGCAGAGACAGGCAGATCTCCAAAGCTCACCAGCCTGCCTAGTCTTCTTGGC